TCTGAAGACCAATGGTGGCATTGAAGCTTTGGGCGGATATTCACTCCATGGACAATTGGTGATGCTTGGGCTGGGGAAATTGTCGACTCGTGCTGCGGCATTTAATGTGACCGATGAATCTTGCCGAAATTGTTGTAGAGGTGAAATAAAAGATGCGGGCCGTGTAAAGGATAGTGTTTCGCTCAAGCGACTTTCATGCACTGGAATCGGGATAACACGAACTGAATTGAGACGGTGAGTATAAGGTTGCAAGGTCGTTGAGAGAGTGTCGCTGGTTTTGGAGGGCTGTTAGTGGAGCGATAAGAAATGATGCAACTATAGCAGCAAATACAACTTTATCTTATCGCGCACTATTTCCAGCCTAACAGGAACCGATATGCGGAGCCAGGCTTGAACACTGGGTTGAACGCATCAAAGCGGCCAGACAAAGAAACTTTCGATGTTTCGGAGACATAGCAATGCAATAAATGAGGAACACAATAATGTTCACATACTTTTCATGAAGAGGAAGCACTGTTCAGGCACGCCACTAGAACATTGAGCCAAACCATTGTCTCAGGAATAAAGGCTTTCCTAATTCATGTTAACGAACCTCATGATATCCCAGACAAAGACCTGCCATAGTAATAAAAGAACGACAACCCCATGATGTCCACAGCCTTTCATTCCAAACATCTAAGCATCCTAAAATCTTAACACCTTAACAAAAATGATCAGAAACAACCCCACCACACAATACCCAGAGCCCGACGATGATGAGGAATGGCCTCTAGGCATGCGGCATTGGGTACTGCCATTCATCCTGTTCCCCACGTATATCAAAATTGCCAACTATCTCAGCACGTCATATGATAGTGTGTGTATGGAACGAGGTGGCCTACCGATCCAAAGATTCAACGAATGGTCGCCAAAACTCGATGATATCAAAATTGATATCCGGAATATTACACGGGAACTAAATGACAAAGAGACGTCACGAACCCTTAACGCAATTTATATACCTGTGGATATAGCCACCAGCCTTCGAAAGGAAAATCAGCAGATGAAACAAGCTGTTGGCTGCAAATTCGACGACGGGGGACTTTTATAAATCGCGAAAGAGAGCGTAAAGCAGCAACTTCCAAGCGACCCTGAGAACCCTGTCCTATTCAGAGAGGAGCTCATAGATATCCAAGCCTATATATTATTCAGCCGGTTACAGAAGCTACAGGAGTCCAGAAGAGAGATCTGGGCAAAACCCAGCGGTCATTTCCGCCAAGATCTCAGCAAAATCACCTACAGCGTATGCTATGCTTCGACACAACTCGAGGACCTTGCACGAGAAGCCAAAACGTTCAACAAGCCAACGCTGCGACAATTACAAATGGTGAGTGTTGCCACATACGTTCTTTGCCGAGAGAGTCGTAGCGACGCTCAAAAACTCAATGAGCTTGTCGATCAGCTTGGCAGAGGAAGAACTTGACAGCTACGAGGCCAAACGGATGATGATTGGAAGAAATGTGATCAATATGTTGGATGGGGGATTTGTTTTACCAGAGCCGGTCTCATGGTGAAGCCGAACCTAGTTGGCCACGACGGAATGGATGAGGACTTCCGCGATCCAATCGTGTATCTATTGAGAGGCGATTGCTTAGTTCTACCAATGATTTTATGACAAGGTGCGGGGATAGAAATGCAGTAGAAGTATTGGGCATTATTACGGAGAAAGATACCCGACAGACTTCCATACATCGTAGTAACTGCGCCTATCGTGTTGCTTATATTCATATTGTGAGCATGTATGGAAGAACCAAGCATCCATCACGGAGTGCCTCTTTCATCGTATCCGAAAAAGGACGAATATAAGCGAATCAGGCCGACATGCATGTGACTCGATAAGATACGTCATTGGGTATTGCCAATATGTGAGAGGAAAGGCAACTTGCGCTTTCACTATCTTGCAGGCGCCTTGATAGCCTATCAAAGCATTCGCCAAGCCCTGTTGGAGGGAAGTATCGCAATACTCGCCCATTTGAGCGCTCAGCTCGTCGGCAATGATACGCAAACAATACGCAGTATGCCACAATAGTCGAGCTTTTTACTCGATGGAGCGAAACATGCATATAAGCTAACAGTCTTTTTACCGTGTGATAATATTCTGCATAGTGTCCTTGTTTCTGAATGGGGACTTGTGCATGAAGTCGTTGGGAATGAATTCGACCCCAGGCGATTGTGTTGCTTGTTCTGGTTGATGGAAGAGGATGTTGGAGGGCCAGTAGCTGCCACTGGATTGATGGCGAGTGATCACTGGCGGTCGCATGTGATGTGTTAGAAGGAGGTAAGCCTGTAGTTCGTGTTATACGCTGGATATTGACGTCGAATTAACGTCCAGTAGCCTTGGTATGTGCCAAAAAGCTCAAGCTTGAACTGCCGGACTCTATAATCTTCACCGACCCCTTCACCGCGCCATACAATAGCTCAGGACAACTTACACGTTCCCCTTCCGTTGGGACACATTGTAATCACGGTTCTAGGTCATATCAGAGTCTTTAAGCTTGGTAATGATTACATCCATTCCTCGATGGCCACTCTGGAGTCGCAAACACATCACTGATCGTTACACAAAGGCCGCTGGTGGAGTTTGATCACGCCGCATAATGCAAGTTTGCATCCTATATGCACTAGTAGTCACACACAATGATCGCCCTCAACAAGAAATATGAACGCCACAGTTCTGAGGTTGCAAGAAGCATATATGGTGGACGACACTCGCTTTACGGCACCGCAAGACCACTTTCGATCTCATCTAGCCACGCAGTTCTTAGCCAACCATCATGCTGATCCTCTCAGTTTCTCAGGGACTTATACTCTCCGGTGCAGCTGTATGTACATTCTATCATCTGCCTAGCACTTACTCACGCCAACTGCAGTTTGCATCGTGGATCATCAGCGTTATTCTCTACAGGCTGTACTTCCATCCTCTGGCCAAATTCCCAGGACCAAAAATAGCTGCATGCAGTGAGGTAAAGTCTTACTGGACCCTCAATTCCCTTCTTAACTAAGGCCTTTAACAGTTTTGGTTCCTCCGCAATTGGGCCAGCGGGTACTATGTTCATAATATCGGCAACCTGCACCGCAAGTATGGCGATGTTGTCCGAACCGCCTCCAATGAACTCAGTTTCAGATCTCCGGTCGCACTCAGGGACATTTACAATCATGTCTCCAAAGACAGACCCACATTCCTAAAGAGTGACACCTTCTACACCGTAGATCCGTCTATCCCCCGCCCTGATATTGTGTTCACTAGAGATCCGCAAGATCATCGGCTGCAGCGAAGATCTCTCGCTCATGCCTTTAGCGCAAAAGCCTTGAGGGATAATGAAGAGTCTGTCCAGCTTCACGTCAAGTTGCTCCTAGAACGTCTCGCGCAAAATGCAGGGCCTGGGACTGGAGGAGCGAACATGTCAGAGGTCTTCAACTGGCTGACCTTCGATATTGTCGGTAAGTAACCTCATCGGCACTCACAATCAACAAGGCTGACCAGAATCCCCAGGCGATCTGACATTTGGTGAATCATTTGACTCGTTGAACCAATGGAGACCTAGCGAATGGGTGACTTGGATCCTTGGATTCGTCTCTTCGCTCACTTTTCTCCCCTTCATCAACCGTTTGAAAATCCCAATGACACTAGCCGTGTCTGTGATGCCTAGCTATCTCAAAGAAAAGATCGACATTCATACAACTGAGAAGGTCAAGAAGCGAATCAAAATGGGAAACTCCCGCGACCGTGAGGATTTCTTTGCTTATATCCTCAGGAAAGAAAGCGAAAGTTTGGATCTTGTTCATTTGCGTGAGCAGGCCAAGGTTCTCATGATTGCGGGGTCTGAGACGACAGCAAATCTACTTGCGGCTGCGACTTATTATCTGCTGAAGAACCCTGACAAGTTGGCCAACCTTCAGGCTGAAGTACGCTCGGTTTTCTCGTCACGAGACGAGATTACGGGTGATGCTGTAGCTCATCTTCCATACTTGAACGGTGTCATCGAAGAAGGTCTTCGTATCTTCCCTCCAGTCCCGTTTGGTCCCCCGCGCGTCTGCACAGGGGCCACAATCGATGGACACTACGTCCCCAAAGGCGTCGTTGTATCTGTCGATGGATTCGCAACTACGCATGATGAGCGCAACTTCACTCGACCAGATGAGTTTCTACCAGAACGATGGATCGGCGAGGGGTTCGGGGATCGAAAAGAAGCTAGTAAACCCTTTTCACTCGGCCCTCGAGGTTGTCTGGGTATCAATCTTGCGTATATGGAGGCGAGGGTAACAATGGCCTCGCTCGCTTGGAAGTACGATTGGGAGCTTGTCAATCAGGATCTCGACTGGCTCGCCAATGTCAAATTGCATCTGATCTGGCAGAAGCCGAAGCTCATGGTTCGCTACCATCCACGAGACGAAGCAGTAGCTACTTGAGAGAATTTCACACTGCATATGAAAGAGGCACCCGATAAGGAGTCATTTAATGCTTTTGGGTGTTTCGCTCCTTACGATCTCGGCTCACTCCTTCAAGGCTTCGGTAAGCGACGCGGAAGAATGATGTTATTATGCACCAGGAAGGTCGTGTTTTATGTATGTTCATGACTGTTATGTAGTTCAGAATAGTTTGTTAATTTGAACGGTCGGATTGAAACACCCCAATGCTAAACTAGCTCGTCTGCCATTCTTTGTGGCGCACTACTTCAGCTGATCGGCGATTATACGAACTTTGGACCACGGAAGGGAAATTCCTTATCGTCAGAGGCGCTTTTAGACTTGGCCGCCCTGTCAGGGGTTTAGCGCCTCAATCGTTGTCGAAGGTTGCTGATCTATCAGAGGTACCGTGATTTTTATCATGATGTCAAGACTTGAGGCCTCAATTCCTCCTCATTTTCAGCACATACTGGTCACGCTTAGAGATTAGAAGAAGATGTGTGATGGTATTAAAATAACTTAATTATGCAAAAATGGTATCAAAACTCGCTAGTCTATGAAAGCACAGCCTTGTCGGCCTTGAGTCTCGCAATCACTGTGGACATATCCACGTCTTGAATGTTCACGCCTTGGTCGATAGCAAGGCACGCAGCAGTAGCAGCACCCTGGCCCATAACCATATACGTAGGCTCCATGCGGATAGCAGAGTAAGCGATGTGAGTAGCGCTCATGGTAACGGGGTTGAGGAAGTTTGTCGCGTCGCTAGGCTTGGGGAGAAGAGCCTGGAGAGGAATGTTGAAGGGGCCGGGAGTAGCGATGTGGACTTTGCCCTCGTCGCGGATCTCTCCGTTGTAGACGATTCGCTCGACTTGGTGAACATCGAGAGAATAAGCACCCATACCAATGCTGTGGTTTGGTCGGGATGGGGGAGTCTGGATGTCACTTTGGCGCATGGTGTAGACACCGTTCATGCGACGTCCCTCTCGGATGTAGATCTCATAAGGCCAGTTGCCATTCTTGGTGTACTCATCCTTGGCGTATCCCCATTCATTGACTCTATCACGCAGAGACTTGGGAATACGGGGATGGTTGGCCATGGCCCAGAAGAAACCCTGAGTGTAAGACTTGTGTGTGAGGTAGATCTGTCTACGCTTGTCATAAGACCAGAGAGCGTAGTTGCCATCATCATCGTAGTTAGCACCAATCATGTCAGTGCTGACTTGACTCTGAGCATTAGAGTCGGTCTTGATGTTGGGCATGAGCTGTGATGTGAAAGGTGTTCCAGTATATCCAGATTCGTAGTAACGGAAGAGGAGCTCATAGCGAGACTCGACGTAGTCGGCAGGTTTGGTGAACGGGATCCTGTTGTTGGTCTGCTTGGTGAGAGTCATGCGGAAGTTGTAAGATTGAAGACGATAGTCATCGCCCTTGCCCTTGAGAGAAACAGCATCCTTGACAACTCGGCCAACACCCTCGATGAGGCCACTGCTTGAATCGCCCTTCTTCTTCCAGGGGTCAACCTTTGAGAGTTGATCAGAGCCGCCGGGTCGGAAACCAGCGGCATCTTCGTTGTAGTCACTGGTGCTCTCGCGTCCAGTGCTGTATGAAATACCAGCGGCCTCCATGAGGTCACCCTCGTAGCTGGCATCGATGAACATCTTGCCCTTGAAAACACTTCCCTTGGTGGTTCTAAAAGAGGTGATTTGACCATTCTTCTTGGTCACACCGCTGCTGGATCGATCAATGGGCTGGTTGCGGAAGATGGGGACCTTTCCATCCTTCATCCACTTCTCAAGAATGGACTCTGCAACCTTGGGTTCGAAAGTCCACTGAACCTTCTTGCTCTCGTCAATAGCAGGACCGGGCTGGGCTCCAATCTTTCGTGCGATATACTGTGCTCGTGTCTCCTGTGTCCATGGGCTGGTCTTCTGGTAATAGGTATAGACTTTGCCGTAGAATTCTCTGGCAATGCCACCAATAGAGCTTCCCTTCTTGGAGTCTGTCCATCCAAGACCCGATGTTGTCAGACCACCCAGCGTGTTACCAGGGAAGACGATAGCAACACTCTTCTTCATGCGCTTTGTCTGCACAGCAGCTGCTATCGCAGCGACTGTGTTGCCGTAGATGACGACATCATACTGGACATCTGCTCTTTCGGACGGGGCAGCTGAAGCAGTTGTCATGAGATACGACACCATCAAAATGGTGAAGATAAAGATGAGGAGACGATTCCTCAGTAGAGCTGCCATTTTGGTTAACAAGCGCATATGACCTTGCAGCTTGAAGGTGAGGAAGAGAGTGAAGAGGTAAAGGAGGGAAAAAGAAAATAAGGTATTAAGGTAAAATGAGTGGCGTGGAAGTTTGATGGCGGAACAGGACGCCCACGACCAAACAAGGGAAAGATTCAGATGACAATGGTTTTATGAGCGATAGCAGTGACATGCAGTGGCGGGCCAGGGGTTGAGTAGTCTAATCTTGAGCACAGAATAAGGTAGCGACATCTCGTATTTCTAGGAAAATAAAAGAGGCCAATTTGGGGACCAACAGATTTAAACTCCGGGGTCTAGACCACAAGAGTCTGTTGGTCACATTCTAACCAAGACTGCTCTCGCCGTATTACGGCATGGCCATACCAAAGGAACAAAAAGAAAAGGGCTAGACCGAAGGAAAAGGCATATCGTGCGTGGATCTAGCTGGATAGCAAGGGAGAATTGGGCTGTGCTGTGCAGTTGTAAATCTTGGCCCCCCTCCCTTACCTCGAGACTATTGACTGCACTATCGACACTGGACAAAAAAGAAGCCTCAACTTACAGTAGCCGAAGAGCTTGAATGGATGCGCCCAGACGGGTGAGGGTCTGTGTGTCTGCGCTTCTAAATCGAGGTCATTCCTTATAAATTGCCATTCGCGCAGCCTTCGTATAAACGACCGAACAGGCATTGTGTGGCAGCCGACCAGGATAGGAAAAGGCCGGGCAGCTTCGAGACGAGACACCCAAAGCCAAGACAATCGGTTAATTAATTCAGTGAGATCAAGACTCGAGAGGGAGGGAAGAGCGTGTGTTGGAGATTTTCGGCCCTTGTTAGAAATGGGGTTAGTTATGAACCCTTGATTAGCGTCATGGTTCAGGGGTTGTTATGCAGAGAAGAGGGGGGGAACGGGTTCCGGACTTTCAACTGTTGCGTAGCGAAGCGCTATTTATTCTGAGGTTTTTAGTGCCATCCGCGTGCTACGGTTCCGGCTAAGGTGCCGTTTGAGCTGCTGGATCTGAACTCTGATGCGATTTTACAAGGGGTATTCCTGGTACGTACCCCCAAAACCTCGTAAAACTCAATGGCCTCATTTTACTTGCATCGCGAGTGTAAACAAGGGAGATTCATGAATTATCATTTAATCAGCGGCATATCCGTTCACAATTCTCTCTTTAATGACGAGCTAGAACTGTTGGCTCTAGACGGATCCCCATTCAATAGTCTGGCTTTCTCACCAGTCACCTTGGAGGCTATCTCATCACTAATGTACCTACAGTGTCGATCGCTTACCTACAGCAACAGGCCAGCCAACTTCATGATCTCATCTTCGACAATCTCGACCTTGACCTGGACCTTGACCTGGCCCTGAGAGCTTTGGTCAGCTTACAGACCCTCTCTCTCTCTGCTATCACGGCAGCCTCGGCATCTGAATGTCACCCAACTGGGATTGTCACTGTTGAATCGATAGCCTTCAGGTTGACCAATTACAGGGCACTTAGCACCAAATAGCGCTCTTTTTGGCGCAGCTGGGTGTGGTTCAGGCTAACGTAATAGAGGCCGACGGTCGCGCACGCGCTCAATGTCATATCATCACTAAGCGGCTGCCCTTACCGAAGCGAAACGCCACATTCTGGTCGCTCGAATTGCAAAATCTCGATGAAATGAAGCATGCGATTTTCAGCTGTGGAAGTGTCGATCAACGCTGCAAACGTTGATCACGACGTCGTCTTGTTTTTAACCTTTTGCCTATTGACTTTGTCTAATGACACCGACTCTTCTTGGCAATTGTTCAGCCGCAGCAGTCTTGCACAAAACCGCACAAGGCTAGCTCTACTCTTTATTTTCTGCATTGTTCGAGGCCAGTCTTTTGTGCTGGCTTATCAAATAGCCTGATTTCACGCCCCCTGATAGGTCAATGCCCTCTTTGACGTGTACAAACTTGGGTGGCCAATTGGAGAACACATCACATTTTTACCAGGATTGAGAGCTTGCATTGGTTCCATTCCAAATCCGGCCAAGACCCTCATGGTGCTTTTGCTCCTGGGAATCTGCACCTGCAAGGCACAGTCCTCAGGGTCGAGATTCCTGGCCGAATGTGATCGGAGACTCGGTCTAACAATGCTGCGGGTACGGATAAGCTACAGGGTTGGTGATCGAGAAACCTTCAGATACGAGTTTGCGTCTTGGCAGCGTAAGCTTAAACATGATCACCACTTAAACTTGCAGGACAAGGTCACCTGCTTTACCACGTCATGCTTAGTTTGTATGATAAGAACAAGGCAATTCTTTGGTGCCTGTTACGTAGCATTCTAGGCAGACGTTCCCTTTGTGCATGTTGAGATAAGGTACAAGCGAACTGGCCGAAGCGAGTGTGCCAAGATCGATACATCAGCAGATGGATTCACAGCCCTACGCTCCCCAAGATTCGGCTGTTTCCTGTTACAGTAATACACGCCAGTCGCTTCTACTCTAACCGGGGAATTGCTGCACTGCCATCACCTGTTCCGGAAAGTCAGCACGACTCAATTCTTAACAAGACACCCTATTGATGGCCACGTGGCTGTATAAGACGTGGCTGTGTAGTGAAACAACCTCATATCCGAATTTCCAATGACGATTAGGTTTATCACCTTCGTATATGCATCCGCACGGGTGGCTGAATAAGGTTAAAAATGTTACGCTAACGGTCTCAGTTCGTAAAGGGTTATATCCTGTTCACCTGAGTAGGCACTTCACAAGGCAGTAAGATTCGAACTACAGAGATGGAATCAGCCTGTTCGTAGACTCTCGGGAATCTCTTGTTCAAGCAAACGTTATGCTATGTATTCCTTGGCGTTTCTCATCAAGGACGCCTACGACTTGAGATAATGCCTGGTATCATATGGCTCGATGCGTCCAGCTAGACGAACCTTTGTTGTTAACGATTTCCGCTTGATTGAATCATAACACATGACTAAAGTCAGCTTGGACAGGACCTTTGGAAACCATTATACCTCTTATAAAAATATCAGCATCCACTAGGTCCTGGAACGGGAGATGATGCAATAAGTTCTGTTACATTAGACAAGACTATACAACATTTATCAATAGGAACTTGGCTTGTAAAGGCATGCAGTAAGCTGGGTTTCAGTATAACCATCTATTTATGAATAGAATACTGCTATCAATATTAAACTTAAGGGAAGCAACTTCGCACATTCAATAGTCTTCAAGTCAGCATCAATACGGAAAGCACCTATTTAGGTATCCTATACTTTTTTTCCATCTTTTTTCTTTTTGTATTTTCATAATTTTATCTGTAATCCAAGACCATGCTTACTGCCTGTAGTAAGCCACATTCATCCTGTAATACGCCAGATAACTCCTGTATCATCTAGTAGAACTGTAGAAGGTAGTCCAAGCTACCAAACCTTGACGCCAACCAAATCTCAAAAAACAAGAGCAATCCGCGAAAAGTTTAATGGAGAAAAATTCCATTGTTCATTGTAAGCCGTCCTCGAAAACCTCAACCCTGCCTCGTGGGCCAGGCCAATACGGGGTGTTTGGCGCTCGATCTGCAATGAAATGGATTTGACCACCAGGTCGCACGAGGTCCTTGAAGAGGTATAGCCAGTTAATCGGTTTAATTTGCGCGGCCTCCCATTTGAACTCATGGTTGTCCTCAAGATAGCCAACCCATGCTTCCTCTCCCTCTCCCTTGCTATCTGGAGTCTCTATATCATATCTGACCAGACATGGGACACCTAGGAGTATCAGTGTCTTTAGGTTTAGATAGCGCCCCATCTTTTTGATTTGTATACCGAACAGAGGTGCCCTTTGGTGCGTCATCTGTTGAGTCATGTCAATGCAGAGCGTTTCGAGATTTTGCAGCAGTTCCCACTTGGGAATCAACGGAGACATCCGAAGCTCCTGTCGATATCCGTTCACATAGTAGCTCCATCTATTGATTTCACGCACAGTGACTAGATCACCATGGAGCAAATTAAGAGCATACCTTATATCGCCTGCAGAGACGTCGTTCTCTCTGATCATGAGATGCTTTATCTTTTGGCACGCCAGCTTTTCATCGTCTGGGTGTAGACGACGAGTCAATGCGGTTTGTTCTCTAGTGATACCAAGAGGATGTCGAATATCTTCGTCGCCACCAATCTCAACTGGGACTGTCGCGATGAAATGTCTGTCAAGTAAGTCATATCCGATATAGCGAACGTTGATAAAAATGGCGGGATCATAGTTGGGTGGGAATGCGTGTTTATCCAGATTCAGAACTGGATTGGCTATGTCTTCGTCCAGACCGAGCTCAGCTACTATCGTACGCTTGGTGAGGTGGCTGATTTCGAGCTCATGAGAATAGCCGTCCGAAGGATCAAACTGGAGGGCGGGTGTATCTGAAGCCCGGATGACTCCCGCGACGCAACGATGTTGCATCGGAAGAGCCTCCAGTCTTCCACGAGACAATGACCCGTCTCTCTGTTTCTCGCCACGGGTATAGATGACCGTGGTATGGTTCTGAAAACCGCCGTCACATCGCAGTTGGCCCCTAGAAAGATGGTTCACCAGACAGATGCAATCTTCTTCCGACTCCTCGATGATTCGAAGGCTGAGTTCTGGAGGAAGAAACGGCTTGCTTTGACCTGGAGTAGCACCTGTGGGCTGAGGCATGACGAAGTACTGGATGGGATTTTGTTGCTATTTTGGTGTGTATATCTCAGGGCCGAGGTTTGGTGAGGAAGGAAAGGTTTTGGTATGCAGTGACTAATGAAGTGGTCGAATGTCGGAAGCCCGTTGGCTGGTGTAGTCGGAAAAAGATAGAATTGTAAGCGTTGGAAGACAAAAGACTGTATTTGTAGGCGTGAGTCTCAAATGACGGGTGCAATGCTGTTCACGACATAACGTGGGATTGCCAGTGGTTCCGTGTTCAACATCACTGGCGTTCTTGACACTGCCAAAACAAGTTTCACCATAGTATTGCCACTGTCTTCTCAGTGTCACAGCTACTCTATGGGCTGATTTGTCGGAAAAGTTGCGAACCTCTCGCTGTCACTGAAACAGGGGGTTAGTATCTGAGTGAATTACATCTGTTCGGCTCGGTAAGCCTAATGAATCAGCGTCGTGACGGAACGTACATCAAGATGAACATAAGCTCAACAAGGGCATCTCCCAGCACATACGACCATACCCACTGTTGAGAATTCAGGATCCCGTCCGCTCTCCCATAGACAAGCCAGTGAGGGGCGGACTAGTAGTTGGGTCGGTGATGACCAGCGAATACCCGCTGTTGTATGTTTTTTGTTTCTGCGTAAAGACAGAACATGCATGAGATCTTGGTACTTTTTATGGCTTGCAAGGTCGCATCAAACCCGGTAAAGGGCAAGGGACTTTGTTCAACCTGGTTACCACTACAACAGCATGTTCAGCCCATGCTTACAAGAGGTAAAGGGGGCAAATTATATGTTTTAACTGGTTAATAATAGTGATTTCCTTACATATTTTCAAGCATCAAAGTCTCATTGGCGCGCAAGTAAAGATATGAAATTCCTTTGCATTCCCGTCGAGTATATAATAGTAGATATATCACTATGCCTTACTTTCGATTAATTCAGTGCCCAACAAGAGGTCTTACATAACACCAGAGACAGATAACCACAACCCTGACCTACAAACACACCTAAATAGAACCGCAAGCTATTTTTCACTATCATCATTTATGGGAGCCCTTAATTGGACTTTAGTGCGAGGTGTCAAAAAGTGCAAAAAGCAAGGTATAATGGCGGAATCAAACCGCCTACGATGGACGAACAGGGAATCGAACCCTGGACCACTCCCAGATTATTCGGATGAATTATGCTAAGGGAGTATTATACCACTAAACCATTCGCCCGAACGATAACAAGTTTGCCGGTATTGGCGTTGAAGAAAGCAACGCAAACAGATAATCGACAACCTTTCTCTCCCGAACAGTAGCTACATCTCAGGAAACAATCCCCTTGATCTGTATACAATTGAGTTTATGATAATAAATGTTGGCTAGGTTGGCACTAAGCATCTTATATGTAGATGGCCTTAGTTCAAGATGTCTTGATCGATGTTGCTGCTACAAGTTTTGAGATCTTAAGTGTTGAGCAAACGGCTGAGACGCAATGATTTTGGTGGTCAGCGATGGCGTGCCATATGTATCAAAGAGTCAAAAGCCAGCTCAGCATCGATGAAGCCTCATCCCACATTCCCTTTCATGCTTCCACCTACGATTATCAATAGATAAGAGTCCCAAATGAGTAGGTGGAGATTGCGGAGGGAGCCACGTGATTCTCAGGCAGCAGTAGCTGTTCTAAGGTGCTGCTTACATCCACTATCTTGTCAGCAATCGCTTTGTAATACTTACCCTGCTCACAAAATCTGATTCACGATTTTACTCACTTTGTCTATGCTGCTACTCTTGAGATGGTCAATTATGGTGTCTCTCGCGCGTGCGAGACATGCAAAAAGCGGCGTAAAAAGGTGCCGTGATCTGATCTTCATCAAGTCAAGCTTGCTAATCTTCTGTGACAGTGCGATGAAACTCGTCCAGTGAGTACCAAAAAGGCATAGCCTGTAGCCTTAAAGCGCTAACGCAGGATTCAACAGGCCTGTCTTCGCTGTGTAAAGTCCCGTAGGCGATGTCCTGGCTATAGAGACGACACCTCACTGTTATTTCGACACTATCAGCCTACAACGCCGCCGTTGCAGCGATGGCATCCGAGCAATGACTTCATACTTGAGGCCACTGCGCTTGATAATTTTCTTGATAATTTAGTGGTACAATCTCGTGATCGAACTCATTCACGTGGTTTTCTCGATGGGATGCATTATCTCTTTGCTACCTCTCCTCCAAAGTCGACTTTGATGAGAGCTGCCAGAATTGTAGTTCTTTCATCACTTGCAAACCGCTATAGACGAGACTCACTGGGGACCTTGGTTCGGAGACAGTATGGACAGGTTTTGGTTGATTACACCGCAGATTTATCACAGCAAACTGCGAGTCCATCGGTAGAGCTCTTCTTCACTGCAGTCTTGTTGGGCTTATACGAGGTCAGTTTCTCACCGGCGGTGCGTTGACTGTTTGTTAACCTGTATTAGCTTGTAGCAAGTGACAATGCCTCTCCGACCAAGCATCTAGTACATGTTCGAGGCCTCGCGTCCATCCTCTCGAGAGGCATTACATACTCGACACCAGAATCCAAAGTCGGCGTATATTCTCCCGGAATGCGCCTTGTCACAAAAGGCATCTTGGTACGTATCCCTCCACCTATCACGTACAAGCCCTTGCTTACACCCATAGTCAGACTCATCAAACAGGCACTGGTATTCTGTGCCCTCCTCTCAATGATGCATACCGTCGATCTCTAGATGACATTATCATCAAGATGTCGCCTCTAACAAGTCAAGCAGAGAAGCTGCTCTCCGATCCCTTTCCTCCCGTGTTGGAGCTTCTGGAGCTGCAAAAAGACTTGTTGGCGATTGACGATGAGATTACGTACTGGGCCTACGACCGGCCCCCTAGCTGGAATCCAGAAGTGGTCGGTGAAGTCTGGATGAATCCAGCAATATCAGAGGAGGCCGCATTCTATTTTTCTGGCCCAGTTGAGAAGTATTTCGACAGTAAGCCAGAGCTGCTGCCATCTTATGTCGGTTGGAAGCTAAAATCGCTCAACAGTATACGTCGCAACTGCATGGAACTCATGGCGTTCAATACACGTCATCTATCTTGACCACCTCATACACATTGCGAATTCCCTTGGACAATACGAGCTTGTTCCTCTATATAAAGAGCGAATTGACGATCTAGCTGCGGGGATCAAGGCATCCATTCCATTCCATCTATATCCAGACGTTGAGACCTACATCCAGCAAGTAAATGCTGGAACTCCCCTTGTTCACTCACACCGACTGGTTGGGGGCCTACTGCTTCTTCATCCTATGTATGCCCTTGCTCGTTGTACCGTCGTTGATGAATCAACCAGAAAGTACATATCGAATACTCTGGGATGGATCGGGGATGAGATGGGAATTCGGCATGCGACCATTCTTGCCGATGGCCTTCAGCCAGACATGCAAGGACCTTCCCAGATGCAAAGCTCCCAAATCACGTTCATTGATGCACTCGATGGGCATTTCCTGATTACCGCGAGCATGATGTTAGAGCCTCGATAGGTACCAGGAGCTGTTTGAGATGAAGTGTCTCAGTGGTGCTCTGCGGGAAAGGTATGCAGAACCCAGCATAAAGACCATTTTATTCGCATATAGACTATAGAATCGATGAGAAACGTAGCATTCCTTTACTTGCAACATGATCATGTCCATCTCTATCCGTGCTGAGACTGACATCCTCCCAACTACTCGCGAGCTCAAGCTGCTCCTTGCATTTCTGCTCTATCAACCGTAATGCATCACTTCCAAGAATGACTCTCACCGGCTCCGGCCTTCCAGCACTGGCACCCTCAACCTTGACGCAGTCCACAATGCGTTCTGACAACTTTCTGATATCACCAGGCACATTCGGGCCAATATCCGAAATGAACACGTCCATCAACTCCTCAAAACCGGGATTGTAGGCCTCTAAAGCGGGCTTGTACTTCCCAAATCCCTCCACTGAACCTTCGCGAGGTTGGCCAAGTTGGGACGGGAAGCCGCCGGGCTCAAAAATGATGCAGCGGATATTGAATCGTCGGACCTCCTTTGCTAGGCATTCGACAAAAGCACCGAGAGCAGCTTTCGAGGCGGCGTAGTGGCCTAAGAATGGCAACGGGCCCCAGCCCACGCCAGCTCCGATGAAGGCGATGGTGCCACTCTGTTGGGCTCTGAAGTAAGGCAGGATAGCTTGAGTGACATGTAGCGTTCCAAAGAGGTTGACGTCAAAGACGTTACGCACAAAGTCGTCACTGCGAGACTGTCAGTATCTGTTACCAATGCCATGTAAGGTAACCTACTCTGCCTCCTCAATACTCTTGGGTGCTGAAATGCCCGCGTTGTTCAAGAGAACATCGATGCGTCCCCAAACATCCCAGGCTTTCTTTATTTGCTCGTCGATCTCAGCTCGAGGCGCAGTGACATCAAGATCGAGAAGAAAGACATTGTCAGACTGCAAATGCTTGAGACGTTCCGTTGCCCCTCTTCCAGTCGCGATGACCCTGTCACCTCTCGCAGTGAGGTTCTGCACCACTGCGGCACCGAGACCCGAAGTAGTAGCTGTTACTAGCCAGACTGATTGAGGCATGTTGGGTCACTCTCGGAAGAAGTTTCGTCGCGCGCAGATAGTGATAGATAATACTACTTATACTCTAGAGAAGAATGAGCATAGCAACCGCTAAGCTCGCTATCGAGTAACCTCTCCAGCCAAAAGTTCGCCCGTCTTCGGCAGGTGCCCCTCTACCATTCAGCCCTGAAGCCCATAAGATGGATCTTGGTCCCATCCGCAAGGCCCATATGGTCTGTTAATTGGGTCAGTTGCGATAATTATCAGAACAGCGCAAAGCTAGCTTGTTTTGGATAAAGCGAATCTGTGTTTTTGAACACTATTATCTGACAAGCATGGGTCAAAAATAACTCAATCCGTGATTGGCGGGCTACATGACGACATTCTCATGATTGCGACCCTCTGGTGTTACAACGGCACGGCTTTTGAGACTTTGCAGATGGATCTTGCCAGCAAGACTCTCGTGCTACTATCTTCAAATCACATTGCCACAAGAACTCATTGATAGCTTGGTTCAATTCAGAAGGCCCCAAATCAGCCAGACGACCAATTGGCAAGCCTTCAGACAAGCCTATTTTCTGGGAACAAGCAGTCAGTATGTGAGAGAATAACGCGTTCAGTCATCTGTGCAGACCATCATATCTTAATACCTGCTTCTCTGGCATCGAGAACATTTTCTAGTCATGATGATAGCAATTCTCTGCGTCATGGAGATCTGCGCAGAACATGAAAGCTGTTAAGAGCACGCTAGGTATCCCAGGTTTGGGTCGTTGACGTCAACACCTCATACCAAGACTTTCGCCTGCTGGACTTTCAGTTTAAACATATTTAGTCAGAATTTCCCAAGCGCTCTATATTTAATGAGGTTATTTCGAGCTTCCTGCAATTTCCAGAGCCTTGTTTCGCCTGCAATGACAGTCACAACAGTCCCTGCGACGCATCCCATTGCAAGACGCGGCCCGCTCTCACAAACAAGCACAGCAGAGTTACACCAATCCAGGGATCTTCAGCACCAACGTCGCGAGGCTCATATTCCCAAAGGGTCAAATGACGAGGAAAAGCTCTACGTCCTGACACTTTTTACCGACAAGCGACACCACGATGAAATGACTGCGCTGCGAAGGCAATGGTTTCCTTCACGACTACTCAAGGTCGACGCCCATATCACTCTGTTTCACGCGTTACCCGGTTCCAAACTGTCAGAGGTGAAGGCAGATATCGCAGACATCGCAGCTCGAGCAGCAAAATTCCCAATTGGCATTGGAAATCAGGACGTTTACGAAATGGGAAGGGGCGTTGGCATCAAGCTCTATGCTGGCCAGAAGAGAGCTATGAGCATACGTAGTGAATTGAGGAGCAAATGGGAGCATTTTCTAAGCGATCAAGATAGACGAGAGAAATGGAGAGGTCACTATACCGTCATGAACAAGCAGGATGATAAGGAAGAGGTACAGAAGTGTCTGGATTATTTGAAGGAGGGACATGCAGAGAGTAAAGGCACAGTTGAAGGACTCTGTCTGTGGCTATATGATAGAGGTTGGTGGAGGGAAGAAGAGGCATTTAAATTCTCAGATAAAGCAAAGAAATAGATATACTTTAGATTATAGAATTAACTCGAGTCTTGGCCGAAATCACAGCGAAATCGTCAACGCGCCAGCGCAGCGCGATCAACAAGAGCGGAGACGGTACAACCGCGACCACGCGACAATGCGCAAATCGACGCAATTTGTTTCTAACGAATAAAAGAGCAGAAAAATGGGCAAAAGACAAAAAACAATCGACAACGGCAGGATTCGAACCTACGCGTGCGAACACAATGCCTATGATGTCTCGTAAGAGATAGCAGGGCATCGCCTTAACCACTCGGCCACGTTGTCTTGGTGGGGGGTGTTCCAGTCTGGGTCTATATAGGCGGCAAGGAGTCACGTTGACAATGGAATTGACCCGTGGATCAATTTTGCGCGCTTAACAATCTGGCAAATGTCGAGATCAGTAAAAAGAGGTCAATTGGGTTTGTTGACGGGTTGAAAAGTCAAAACTTATAATTTTTCGCTGGAGGCGAACGACAAGTTTTGGCTGTGTATGGAAAAGGCAATTGCTGAAGCTTTGCCATTACAGTGAGGACGAGAGCCAGAATGTGACAAAGTAGGTAGTGAAGCTGTTCTGCAGCAATAGATAGGTTAGTGTTGAAAAGTTGGAATTATAGCCAGATATAGAAAATATCCATTAAAGGGACAAAACTCTGAGGTTGTCCATGAGCAACAACTGCCAATTACAGGGTAACCACGCAAATAGTGGAAGTGAAAAAATTTCTCTAGGTTAAAGCTTATCAGATAACAGCCAAAGTGGCGTGTCAGTAAACTATATCTATTATCACAAAATATCTACCGGTATATCAAGAACCCTGGATTGCAGGTTACAATTTCGCCAAAAATTAATAACTCGATCTAAGCACACTGAAAAAAGATGAATTGCCTGTATCCACAGGCGGTTGGAACTCTCCCGCCGGGAATTGAACCCGGGTCTCAAGCGTGACAAGCTTGCATACTGACCACTATACTACGGAAGATGATGACTGTGAGCAGTCACTGTAGCGGAGTTCGATGTCACGTGGAATCGTAATGATGAATATGAAGGCTAGGGGAGCAGATTTTGTTTACTGTGGACATCGTCGACGCCCCTAATGAACTTTGCTTTGTTTGCCAAGCCTCAAGTGTGGCCTGCATTTCTGTTGTGCCAACATTGATGGGGACGTTAAAGAGAATGACTCGATGTCAACAAACTATGCGTCATGCGGCCGGGTTGCCAGCAGATTCAATAAATGCCGATGAGCTTTGAACCACGGAATATTAGGGTTGATTGCCGTGTTTTGTCTACATTATTCTCATCGGGCCATAAGATCACAAAGTTGGCCAGCCTTCGAATTGATGTAACTCTGCGGGGTTTTGCTGTTTCAGGCACCTGCAGCTTGACGTGAGCTCACATCTCAGCTCACTGTCGTGAACTCTCGCGATTCATTCAGCCATTGCTTATTGTTGCACAAGGCTATGCCCTCAAGACCCAAAATAGCGGCCAATATTGGAAATATTGTACGTGTTGCGCATGACGCAGCCCTTCCCCGACCGCCTGATTACTGAGAGGTCCCCAATTTTGGGCCTCTTGGTGCGCTGTTACTGCATCGTACGCATAAACACAGAAGCCTCCGCCACTGATTTACGATTCGCTGTGGTTGCACCCGATCCCTGCTTGTGCCACGAATCAGCAGCACTGATCAACAGGACCAATTCTTGGCTCATGAGGATGTGAGATGCACGGTTGATCATCATCTCGGAGGTTGGGATTTGTGATTCATAAATATGCTTAATTCTTCCCACCGGCTCTGAGCTCCAGTCTGCATTCCAGAGCCACCCGACCTCAACTCTACCTCGAATACCTGCAAAATGTCTCTCCTCGCCAACACATTCACTGCGCTGACTTGCCTTTTGGCTGTCGCTGGCGCTGTTCCTACAGCACTACCCCGCGCAAGTGGCAACTGCCCCTCCACTGGAAAAGCAACCCGCCAGGAGCCGTCAGCCCTGTACAGCGTATTCCCCGGCTCGCCCGACGTCGCGAAAAAGTCCGTCGGTTTCAACGTCGCGACGTACAACAACGCATCTCAGATCGAGCAGCTCCTCGTCTTCACGGGCATTCCTGCCGAGGCTAAGAAGTGCACTCTTGGCTGGGCGCAGGGTGAGCAGCCTGAGCGTCTCTTCATCGTCAAGGGTGGAGATGCCTTGACCGAGTTCAAGCAGCTCTCTGGCTTCCCCGGCAAGGCCGTCACGTACAATACCGCGAAGGAGTTTGACACTGCTGGGGAGTCTGTCGGCGCTGCTGACTTCACTAACTGGGATGACTTGCCTGCGCAAACCCATATTGTTGGTAACATCGACTGCAAGAGCACCGTCTACCTCAAGGCCGCGCTGCGAAACCCCAACGGCAACACAAAGGTGTTCCTCGAGCAGAGCGACAAGAATGGTGTGTACATTGAGTACAGCTGCTAAACGACTCATTGGATTGGCATTGGATTGGAGACATTATGAACATTTCACTTCTCAATAATACTTTTAGGGATACGGGATTTTATCTGCATGGAAACTGGGTCACGGGCATTTGGCAGGGAGAGATTAGACGACCACGGCTCACTGAAGCCTATGACATGTTACGACACACAAACTCGACTAGATAGACTTAATCAATTCAAGAGACTCAAATATCAACAAAATCTACTTTTCCAGTCGCTCGTTGGTCCGTGGCCGCCCGCCCGCCGTTGTGACAGGAATATGGTCGCGTGTAGCTCGAAGCCTGCCAACAGCACGCTCTGGTCTACCAGTGAACAACGTCAACACGCCCAAAGACAGGTTTCACCCATCGAGTATCTATCGGATCACTGATTGAGCCGCGACATGGCCAGGTTGTCGCTTCATCACAAGCTTCCAGGAAGTGATTTGTAACTCTGGTCTACAGGACCAAGAAGCCATTGTCCGATTTTGGAGGGCCGTGGTTGGTGGCCAAACCCGTTGCATCGGACAAGACTTCTGTCGTACGAAACCACCCGCCAAAATAGGCGTAAAAACGTAAGGACCCTTCACTTAGGGCCTCACGCGACAGGGCTTGTACTGTTCAACAACTCCAGTTAACGGTTCTGGATCATTACCATTCAATTGGCTGAGTCAAATCGCCAACTTTTGTGCCAAAGATTACATTTCATTGACTTCTGTATGGTGATACAAGCCCCTAACCACAGATCTCGACTTCAAGTAACCCAGCTGGGCCGTATTTTCTCTCACTTTGCTTTTGCTCTATTTTCAGCGTGGGCGGAATTGACCAAGATCACATGTACGTACAACGAGGCTGAATGCTGGCCACAAGGTTAAACTTCAGCCTGTAAACACAGATAAAGAGGACACGATATTCTTTGTCACTGTAAAACTTTCTACCCCCAAAAATCATACGATGTTCCAATTAAGTCAGTGAAAAGGAAGCGTTGCCCCATTGGGCTTTGGGGCAACATTCACGCACCCGGGAATATCGACATGGCAACACTGCCAAACTCTCACCTCCAACTCTGACTAGACCTGGGATCCTTGAGCTCCTCCATCAGAAGTTATTCCCTATTGCCAGCGGCAGCCATTGGCGAAATCTCAATTGACAACCTCCTTTTACCCCCGGTTAAAGCCAGACGGTCTAGACGTGGACGGGATCATCTTGGGTATTTCCGAGATTGCCAAGAAACGAGCGGTGGCTCAAAAAGGGATAGAAGCGAGATACTTTCTCCACTGATTTTCTTACCTGGAATGTTGCCATTGGTTGTTCTATTTCAGATTTAGGGGTGACTTTTCTGTTTCTCGCGATTTTAACTCAGGGTCTTGCAAGAACATCCATCAGCTGAAGACCCTGAATTTTGATTGAAGCTTTGGTCGCGTACCCGAACGCTACAATTAACTTTCTACCTGCTACTTTGTGGCAGCGCACCACGATATCCTCCGTTTCGGCCATTTGCCACACAGACAGCATGGAGGACACTATCGTCTTCCATCCTCAGCTGACAAAAGCTGATGCGCTGATCCTCGAAGGTCTCCGCCAAGACATAAAGGATTCATCATCTAGCAATGCCGAGACTACAACCTCAGCACCTACCGGTTCGCATCACCTTCATGCCTATCTAACATCCAGCCAATTAACAGCTTAGCAGCCCGCGATGAAGAACTGCTCCGTCATCTTCAGGCAATGAACGATCCTCAAGATGCGCACTTTGAACCAAGCGTCACGACCAATTGGGACATTGATCAAATCAAGCTACCACTATTCCTAGAGAAGACCGTTCTGAGGCCTTACATTCGCCTGGCGCGGTCTGTTGTGAGGGTTGAGACTGATGTCATTATGCTTACGCATCTGCTTCTTTACTTCTCGACCACGATTCCCAGCGCCATCTTTTTGTTCACGAATTTCACGTGGATCCATGGTGTTCTTCACTTTGTTATGCAGTTTTCTTACATGGGAGCGTATACTTTGTTGATGCATCAGCATATTCACATGAGAGGCGTTTTAGACAAGAAATTTGCCGTCTTTGATCATCTGTTTCCTTATATCCTTGACCCTCTGATGGGACATACTTGGAACTCTTACTTCTACCACCATGTCAAGCACCACCACGTTGAGGGCAATGGACCCAACGATCTGTCATCGACTATCCGATACCAGCGAGACAGCCTTGTTCACTTCCTTCACTACGTCGGCCGATTCTTCTTCCTCGTCTGGGCTGATCTTCCCATCTACTTCATCCGAAATGGCAAGGTCATGACTGGCTTGAAGGCTGGATTCTGGGAGTTTTCCAACTATGCTTTCCTTATCACCATGTTCAACCTGCACAGAAACGCCACCATCTGTGTCTTCCTCATGCCGCTGCTTCTTCTCCGTCTCGGATTGATGGCAGGTAACTGGGGTCAGCATGCTTTTGTTGACGATGTTGATCCCGACTCTGATTACCGATCGAGTATTACACTGATTGACGTTGCTGTAAGTTTAAACCCACATAATCACCAGAATACTCGCGCTGACTATGAACAGAGCAACCGCTTTTGCTACAACGACGGTTATCACACCTCTCATCACCTCAACCCTCTTCGCCACTGGCGCGAGCACCCAGTTTCTTTCCAGAAGACAAAACACACCTATGCATCACAGCACGCCCTTGTCTTCCACGATATTGACTACATGATGGTCACCGTTCGATTGATGATGAAGGATTACAAGACTCTGGCCAGGTGCTTGGTACCCATGGGTGAGCAGATCGCTATGTCGTTGGATGAGCGTGCTGCTATGCTGGAAACGAAGACTC